TGAGAATGATTGGAAACCGTGAGAAAAGTAATTCACAGTTTATGTGATGTTGCTTAAGAAATTTAAATAATAAAAATCAACTTAAACCTTTGAAAAGGCAGGCTTAGACCTCCTTAAAAAGATAGTTTGTGGCCTACCATCATTTGAGCACTTTTTCATGAAAAACCCCATTCAGCTTCCTACAGATTTAGCACAGTTCATTCCATGGAGATGGAGAGGAGGGAACAGAGAGGAGGTCCTGGGTGTGGGTCTCCTCACTCCTGCTCTGTGCAGCCCAGCAGCTCCGACCGCAGCGTGATCCTCCCGTACCAGGACCAGGGAAGGATCCTTATGTGCCGCGCATAGATGGGAGGGTCGATGACGTTTTTTCTGTGGGTGTCATTGTCAAAATTGCCCTGGAACACCTGGTAAAGGAGAGTGAAGAACATCAATCATACAGCTGCTGCTTCTTGGGGATTATTTTTATTATTTTCTTATTGGGAGTCCCCCCCTCATGTGAGATTTGATAACTAATCATGTTATGTTTTTAAAAACATATTGCAGCTTCTTCCTTTTTCTTTCTTTTTAAATCATTATTGTTGAAAGTATTACATATGTCCCCCCCCCTGCCCTTTTTTCCCATAGGTCTTTCTAGGCTCCCCCACCCCCAGTCCCAGGCCTTCTCCACCCTGTTGTCTGTGTCCATGGGTTATGCATCTATGCATACAAGTTCTTTGGTTGATCTCTTTCCACCCACCCACCCCTGCCTCTTAAAGCCCAGCCCAAACACAGCTTCTTTTTAATAATCATTTTAAAATTAAATTGTCAATCTTTAAAAAGAGTTAAATAAGACAAAACTGTTTTGTGTTATGCAGGAATCTATGTAGATCTATCATTTTATCTGCCTATGAATTTTTAAAAATACAACGAATGTTTATTTTTTGCTTTGGTCACAGAGCGCTGCTGGTTAGGCAGTGTGTGCTGAAAGTGCTGTAGTCTAAGAGGTGACGCAGAGATCCAGGTTGCTTGCAAATTTCAGGCACACCTGAAACATGTGGCCTCCACACTCACAAAGGACAGGGCGGGAGAGGGTTGCTAGATTGTGCAGGATATCTGAAAGAGCAAGGTATGGAAACAGCTTGCATCATTTCTGGATACATCTCACTGGCCTTAATCAATGATAGGAACCTGGCCCAACTGAAAACGGGGAAGTAGAGAGGAGAACATGGATATCTGGTGAGCATAACAGTCTCTATCACAGTGTCTTTTTGCTCACTTCTCCATAGAGAGCAAGATGAATCCATCTTCAAGAGAGGCAACCTAATCAAAGCCGTTTCTGAACTACATTTTTTTTTCTTTGCTTCTCTATTAATTCCTGGATCCATACAATACTGTTGTGATCATTGGGGCCCATATGCTCTTAGATATTGCCATTACATGACTGTTCTCCCTTTTCTTCTTTTGTTTGAGACCTTCATAATAACTTTGAGAAGTGTCTGCTTCACGATAAATGAATCAATACTATGACCCTGCCCTGGCTAGGTGGCTCAGTTGGTTGGAGTATCATCCCATACACCAAAAGGTTGGGAGTTTGATTCCCCGTCAAGGCACATACTGAGGTTGGGGGTTCAATCCCTGGTCAGGGCTTGTACAGGAGGCAATGGATCAATGTTTCTCTCTCATATCAATGTTTCTCTCCCTTCCTTTCTCTTTAAAAAATCAATAAAAACCCAAAAACATGTCCTCTGGTGAGGATTTAAAAAAATATTAAAAATGATGACATTGGGATCCTGATAAGAATGGCATAAAATGATACATTATTTTTGGAGAAATTCACGTATTTATAATACTTAGTCTTAAAGACTTTACTATTTTAAACCCTGGATTCTGAACCTTTATTATTTAAGTATTTCTAAGTGTTTCATATTTATACTTTTGGATTAGAGCTATTAGGATAGTAAAAATCACTTCAAGGTTTCCCTTGTAACTTTATGAGGCATCATATAATGAGAAGATAATTTCATTTCTTGTTTAAGATCAAAACATAACTATATGGCTAAAGGGAGACCTGAAAATAAAACTTCCCCAAAGCAGTGAAAAAAAACCCTCCATTAACAATGACAATATTTAGCCCGTATCTTTGAACATCCCAAAACTAAAGGGAATGTTTTAAAAATAGCCTTTTATTTTTAGTTGGTTCAGTCCCACATGATCAAAAAGGTTCCCTGGAAAGAAAAAAAAAATAAAGATATTCTTCTCTGAAGCATTAGACAGCATGACACTGATTAATAGAAGCAACAGACAACATGGGGTAATCTTTCTGCTGGTTTCATGGAAAGATTATGAGGGGAAATACAAGTGCCACTGACATCTGGTGGGGGAATGATTTTTCAACTTGACACCAAATATATCTCAAAAGCTATTATTGAAAAATATTTGCTGAAGAAGAGAATACTGAACTATGTCACATTTAGAATTCATCCTCCTGGCATATCTGAATTCACATTCATATAATAAAAATTTCATCTTCAGCAATGCTCTGGCTTGCACTGACCAAGGAGGAATTAGCTCTGGATTAAAATGTGTTACTAAGTAGCAGTGCCTCTGTTAGCACACGTTCACATGTATAGGACATACCATACAAGTGCTTAGCAAAATCTTGAGAGGTTGCCATTGCAACAGCAGAAAATAGGAGAGTACACACTATGGTTTCCTGACTTTCTCTCTGACATATGATATTGGGTTCAAATGCTTCACTGAGACTGTGGTGTTACAATTTAATATAAAAACTAGAATCCAATTTCAGAGCCCTGCTAGAGATCTTAATGTATATCTTTGGGATTAATAGAGTTAAAATTCATTAACTTTCATCACAAGATCTATGACAGTCCAAAATATAGCCTTATGCCACTTGTTGGGGAGGAAATATGGGAAGAAACAATTTTCTTTTACGTTGCTGGTCTTCAGTACACGTTTCCATAAGAAACTATCAACCCATGAAGCAATAGTCAACTTATTACCTATACTCCTCTCTTTATCACAGAGAGTACATATAGAGAAATGGCATCAGCTCCGAAATTGCACACAGCTAGGACATTTCTGATTTACTGTATGAAAGCCATAAATATGTGCATGCTCATTAAAAAAATTAAATGAAGTTTCATAAAACAGGATGATTTACAACAAAAATGTCCACAGAAAAACAGCCAAGATCCACATTGGAATCACCCAAACTGTGATCTAAAAGTTCTGAAAACACAGTCTTATTTTCAGAGTTCTCTCAGTAATGACACAGCACCAAACACAAAGCACACATTTGCAAATTCCAGCATGACATCTTGTACTTGCTGTGCAAACATGTGGCACATATGCTGTTTTCTGATCTCTAGCACTGGGAAGAGCCTGCTTAAGAATGCTATTTCCATGTTTCACCTGGCCAAAAATGCAAACTTGGTGTTTTTAGTTAGCTTCATAAACTCTAAGAATTCTAGAAGAGTGCTTTCACATACACACTTTCGAGATTTAAGCCCCTTGATTGAAATCAAGCCTGAAATGGCTGATGGAGAAACTTAAATCTCCATGTAGCAGGGAAAACATGAGTTGTGAGAAAGTGGCTTTTATTGAGAAGTTTTTTAAAGGAATTTGCACAAGTTTCAGTTTCAGGAGATTTACAGAGCTGATGACAAGTGTGCTGACATACTCAAACATGATAATGCTCAGGGGTCTCTTAGGCTTCAACCAACATATGGGGCCTCAAGAAAAAAAGCACTCAAGGTATTTTGGAGAGGTTTGCACAATTACAACTTAGGAGTATGTAGGAGAAAATGCAGCTGCCTCAATGTGACTGAGATTGGATTTTGTTTTCTAATATCAACTCTACTAGTTAAAATTCAAATCAGATTCAAGGGAGGATTCAAATCTCAATGCACAGAGACTACTGGATAAAATTTAATATTCCAGCAACACTTAATATTTTTATAAGCTGAGATTTGTCATTCTTTGTTAGAAACAAATGGAGTATTAAGGCCAGAGTAGATGTCATCAGTAGGAGGAGCCAAGGAACTTGGAGGGAGGCAGTATCCTCCATAACAAAGTCCTAGAGCTGGGCATGGCTCAGCCTCTCTTAGCAGTCATGTATTATGACTCTGCCTTCCACAAATATCCAGAAATCCTTTGGGGAATTTCTGCATATACTACTTAATTAGCAACTCATCTGGTTTATGAAGATGTAATTCTTTTTATTTGTCCTAAACTTAAGTCATTAAAAGTTTTAAAGAGATTCCCATTGTTCTAAGCTTTTGGAATTTACTTCCTATCATCCAAATAGTGAGTAGTTTTAAGCTTTTTTTTTTTTTTTTTACAGCCTCCCTGAGCTCTGCAAGTCAGTCTTTTAGCAAGGTGTCAAGTGGCCACCAGTTCATCCCTCTGACCTATAGGTCACCCTCTCTACATTTCACTACCTTTTTTCTGATATGTGGAGACTAAAACCATATGTGGGATTCCAGATACTAAGGAAATAAATGGGTTAAAAAAGCTTTCTCAAGTTTTCTGCATTTGTCTTGTTAATAGCTTCAAACGTACCGTACCATTGGCTTTATTGGCTATACATTTATTCTGATCCGATGTGCTTAAGAGAGAGAAAGGACAAAGATAAAAAATTCATCTCTCTAGGGCAGCATGGTGTATGTGTGTGGGGGCGCGGGGAAGGAGAGAGCAGGGGAGTGTAAAAGCTAGGCATTCTTTATTTAGCATACATAATTTCAATTACGCATCCTCTTCATCTGGAATGCTTATAAAGAAGTTAGAAGAGAACAGTCTGATTGCTGAAAAACTCTGTTTTTATTTAATTCTTCCCATAAATGGAAGAAACTGAGACTTGGAAGAGAAGGCACAGCACCAAATTCCCTCTCTAGTTTGGACATGGAACTGTCCACCGATCTGTGGTAAGCGTCAATGTAACAGGGCAGGTATATATAGACACTTCAAATGTCTGCCTATCTATTGGCCTGGAAATATGTCTCTTCCTAAGTTCTATCTACTGATCTGAGTGCTTTATTCTTAATGCAAATAGAAATCTAGGTATCCAAAAGCAATAAGAACAAAAAGACATACCCAGCATCACTTTTTACATATTTAATAATAACTAACACAAAGCTTTCAAATTCAAATTCAAGGATAAACTTCCATGGTTCATCAAACACTTCCTCAAGTAAGATGCATTTCAAACTTACCTTGATTTCATTCCATTGGTTTCCCTCTAGTTTAACTGTCACTTGATTGGGGTATTTGTTTGGACACAGTATGCAATGGCTCAAAAGAGTACACTTTTGTTGTAGATACAATCTTTCTGTCAATGCAGTCTAAGATTTAAAACTATTATACTACATTTTGGGTTATGACTAATTGATTTATGGTTAAATAAACT